TTAACAGTCTCTGTCTACACCCAGGCAAAGATCAGTGGGGACTTGAATTTTCTCCCCAGAAAATCTGGATGGAGGAAGGACCCCTGCAGAAGTTCCTAAACCCACAGGTCATGGGGCTCAAGAAGCTCTACCCAAAAAGACAAAGAAAAAAAAAAAAAAGAAAGAAAACGCTCTGCCCACACGTGTCGTCTTCTCCCTAGCCTGACCCCTTGTGAGGTACCTCCCTCCAGGTGCCTCCCATTGCTAGACATCCCAGGGTTTTTCAGCTCCAGGGACCTTACCCAGGGTCTCAGGGGGGAGGGCACGGTGCCCCCTGGCACCAGCAGCTGGCTCATCTTGAAAACCACCAGGTCGGCCATCAGCTGTCTGTCCTCTTCCACGTGCTCTCCGATCAGGGGCATCGAGCTGTCCATCACCTGCGGGGAGAGAGGAAGAATGACTGGACAGGGTCCCTGGGCAGCGAGGACAGGCTCAGTGTCCAGCACTGAAATGACCACTAGATGGCGATGCTCCCCACACAAACTCCCCAGTCCGAGCGGCTCTCCATCACCCTCTGAACCAGCCCCACTGGATTATGCTCAGTTCAGCCCTCTTCACGGGCCATGGCAATGCATCCGAGGTCAGCAGCCTTTGCTGACCTTTGCTGCACTTTTCTTTGGGGAGCTGGTTGTTTCCACCCCCTCCTTTCTCAGCCTGGCCCCCACCCAGGGTCAGAGCCTGCCTTTTCTCCTTTGGCCCAAGGTCAAGGCATTCCACAAGGCCGGAAACAGTGGAGGTGGGGGCCCCACTGTGAACAAAAAAATGACAGGGCCTGGAGGTGACCCAGGGTTCAGAGAGAAGAGGGCCGGAAGGGCCAGCTCCTGGGGCCTGGCAGAGCGCACGCCCTCAGGAAGGCGTTCTCCAGGGACAAGGGTTTCTCAGAGGAAACACCAAGCTTCTCCTGGAGAGGAGTGGGGAGAGCTCGGGAGCCCAGACTTCTCTTTTGTGTTGTTGTTGAGTGCCGCGGAGGACAGTGTGACTCATCGTGACCCTATAAACAACAGCTCTGGACCCTGTCCTGTCCTGTGCCAGCCTCACCATCCCTAACACACACGAGCCCGTTGCTGCCGCTACTGCGTCATTCCGGCTCGCTGAGGGTCTTCCCCTCTTCTCCTGACCCTCCACCTTCCCAAGTACGATGTCCTGTTCTAAGGAATAACCTTTCCTAACAACATGCCCAAAGTGTGGGAGCTAAGTGTCCTCATCCTTCCCTCCAAGGAGAATTCTGGCCGCACTTTTTGCAAGCCATGTCTGTCTTTTGGCAGTCCGTGGAACACTCAGCACTCTTCTCCAACACCACAGCTCAAAGGCATTGATCCTTCTTCTGTCATTCTCATTCACCATCCAGCTCTTGAATGCTCAGCAGGTGATTGTAAAGACCATGGCTGGAGGCAGGCGCACCTTAGTCTTTAAGCTAGTATCATTGCTCCTCAATACTTTGGAGAGGTCCTTGGTAGTGGCCTTTCCTAGTGCAATATGGCTTCTGATTTCTTGACAGCCAGTACCAATGGTGCTGTGAATCCAAGTAAGATGAAATCATTCACAAAGTCAGTCTTTTCTCCATCTATTTATAATGTTGCTTGCTGGAAACTGAGGGCCGGAACTGCTATGTCTGTGTCTAGACGGGGACTTTGTGCAGGTCTGGGTGTGAGGGCCTGGTAGGGGAGGCATGCAGGGAAGTGGTGGAGGGGAAGGGGACTGGGTAGTGGGTTCTAGAAGTGTGGCTGCTGATTGATGCCAATACTTCCTGGTTGTATGCAGTGGCTATGACCCCTAATACCTGGAGTGGTAGCTTTCAATGCTGGAGCTCCGGGCCCCTGAGGAGCTGTGTGTGGCAGCTACTGCCCTGCACAGGGGGTAAAGGCTGCATAGCTGCAGGAGATGGGTTGGCAATTAAACAAAGCCAGGAGAAAGGGGAGAGGAGGCACTATGGGGGTTCGGATGTGCCCTGGAGCACTGTTGTTTATTCACGTTGGGAGTTTTGAATCTGTAAAACTAGATGGAAATAATAAAGGGAGTGCTGCTTTTTGGTTAAAAAATGGAAATACTCCTAAAACACCTGATGGACCACAGACACATATGTAGCAAGATGTTGCCTAAACGGATATTAAATGCAACACATCTCTCTGTGTGTATTAATTGACCTATCTAGACATATATACTTGTGTGCATGTATGTGCATTTGTTGTTGTTGTTGTGTGCCACTGAGTATATCATAGCTGACCCTCCAGCAGATTTTCTGGGGCAGTTAATTGCATGGGAGGAGGGAAGTTGCCCAGCTGGTGGATTCAAGCCACATGCCTTTTGGATTGCAGTGCAGGGTCTTACCACCAGGCCACCAGAGCTCCTGTTTCTCTCTCTATCCAGATACATCTCTTCAGTGCTGCAGCACCCTCACCCACTGTGCCTATTGTTATAGCCTCGTGCATCCACTATCCACTGAGAACATCACTTTTTCACCCTCTAATGTCCTTGTTTACCAAATACATGAGCATGTATATAAGTATGTAGGTATATATTTGTATATGTTTGCGGTAAAGTAGTTGCCAATTCCACAAATCTTTGCATGCATGACTCGGCAACATTGGCCACATCCACCACGCTGTACAACCTTTGTTGTGGCTGTTACTATGTGCCGTCGAGTCTACAAAGGTTGGAGAGGTACAGCCTTTATCTCTACCCTTTTCCAAACCCAGATCCCCACAGCAGTCACCCTTCTCTATTGGTGAGCACCCCAGGCTTGGTTCTCGACACCCCACCCAAGTGAGATCAGACAATATTTGCTCTTTCTATGATTGGTTTATATCTTCCAGTTAAAAAATTTCAAGATCCGTCCACAGTTTTACATGTGCTAGGACTTCCTTCATCTTGATGGCTCAGTAATACTTGACTGGTGGTGGTTGTTGTTATGTGTCATTGAGTCGACTCTGACTCACAGAAACCTTATGAACAATGGCTTAGAACCCTGGCCTCTACCGAGCCAGCCTCGTGTCTCTGACACACCTGACCCCATTGCCACAGTCACTGTGTCAATCCGTCTCATCCAGGGTTTTTCTCTCCTGTGCTGACCCTCTGCTCTTTGAAGCATCATGTTTTCCTCAAGAACTGGCCCCCTTTGACAACATGGCCAAAGTATGTGAAACAGAGTTTCAAAATCCTTGCCTCCACATTATGCTGAGTGAAATATCTCAGTCGCAAAAGGACAAATATTGCATGGTGCCACTGCTGTAAAATGGGACTGATATCAGGGTAGGGGTAAGACTGAGAAAAACTGGATAAATTGTGTATACTGCACTGAAACAGATGAGGGACTGAATAATTCAAAAGCGATGTATGATAGGGTATTATGGTTATCACAAGAGTCCACAATTAAGGTTGCATAGTGGAATGTACTTGGGGTGGTGGGAGGGGTGCGGGGGGATTGTGTACCAGGGAGGGAGTCTTTCTTTTACTTTTGAAAGAGAAGAGCGAACTGGGGGTGGGGGAGAGGGCTGGACGGGTAGAAAAGTGCAGCAATGAATGAATGGAAATCCAAATTCTCTGTAAATGTTCATTAAAATTATTAAAAAAAATAAAATAAAAAAAATCCTTGCCTCCAAAGAGCAACCTGGATTCAACCTCTCCAGAATAGACCTATTTGTTCTCTTGGCAGTCATGGAATATTTAATTCTCTCTTTCAGCACCACAACTCAAAGACAATGATTCTTCTTCTGTCACCCTTACTCATTTCCCAGCTCTCAGATGTATAGTCAGCAATTGTGAAGACCATCACTAAAACAGGCACACCTTAGTCACTAGTTTGACATTGTTACTCTTTAGTAACTCTTCAGTTCTGGAGAGGTTCTAGACAGTAGATTTTCCCAATGCAATTTGTCTTTTGACATGGTCAGTCTAGAGAAACTGACTACATGGATGGATCACATTATGTTCATCCATTCATCTGCTAATGGATATTTAGGTCATTTCTACCTTTTATCCCTCTGCCTACTCTTGACCTGGCTGACTCCTTCTCATCTATCTGGCAGCACCTGCAAACCCCCTTCCTCTGGGAAGCCCTCTCTCACAGGCTGCCTCTCCTCTCTGCCCCATCACTCTTACTTTATCACGCTGGAGGGCTTGCCCCTCAGAGCTGTGATCAAGCTAATTCACATCAGGGACTGGAACAGCTCTGGGTGGGAAGAAAAGGGAGCAGGAAACCTGAGTTTCAGGTCGAGCCTCTACCTGCTATAGACTTGTGTGACCTTGGACGAGTCACTTGTGCTCTGTGATTCCATTTTCCCAACCCCTAAACAGTATCTTAAAGGATCAGGGCAGCTGGGACTGTGAAAAGAACCTAAAATACCTACTAAGGTTGAAAAGCTAAAAAAAGTCAAGAACGTGAGTGCTGATTCTAGCAAAATCCTCAAAACGGTCTTCAAAGTTTCAGAGGCCAAATCCAGGTCCAAGACATCTCAGAATCGCAGCATCCCAGCACAGGGCTGGGCACATGAAGAGCCTCTGGGTCAATGGTGTCTGAACTGAGTTACAGTCCGTCTTTCCTAGCTGAGGGCAGCCTCCTACACCCTGCCTGCCTGCTGCCCTCTCACCCGCCCGGCCACCTCTTTCTGTTCTCCTCTCTACTTCCGGTGTTCCCTGCGGTGGAAAACGGCCACCACAAGGAACCTGAGGTCAGAGAATTCTGGAATCCCCACCGTGGACACAGCCGGAGGAAGTGGACATCCTGCATTCCCCAGAGACACATGTTTTCCAGTGAGCAATGTCCTTCTTCAGACAGGTCAGATGGGACAAGTTCAAGGGTCATTCCCCAGAGAATTTCACCATGAGGATTTTCACAGAACAGCTCAGACAAACTTTCTGTTCTCACCACAGAGGTGGAGGAAGAAATCAGAACTTTTGGATTTCCTCTGCCCTTTCCCCCTACTTGATAAACAAAAAATACCTTTTTATATTCCTGGTAATAAATTTTTCATCTCCCCCTAGTGCAGACCTAAAACCCAAAGCAAAGAAAACAACTTTGTGATGATTCCTGAGGGGGCGAATAATTCTGAAAAGCCATCTTTTTTTCTGGAGTATTTCTGAGAAGTTTTCTTATTTTGCAAAGTCACTAATATTACTCCTTTCTTCTTATGACCTGCAGGCAAGGAGCCTCAGCCCATGAGGACAGAGTTGTATTTTGTTGTGGGTTGGGTTTTTTTGTTTGTTTGTTTGTTTTTGTTTTGTTTTCCATTTTGGAGTGAAAGCTGAAGAATACCAGACGGAAAGTCAGACCTGAAGAGGCCTTCTGCTGACATTCAGAAAATGGGGCCTGAGAGACGTGCATTCAAATTTCACCCACAGATTCCAAATCTTATTGCCTGTTGAGCCGTCTTGGGAAGCCATTCCACTCTCTGTGGGACTGGTACTTTGCCTGGCATGCCGTAAGCTGACTTCCTCACTACCACCACGAAAGAGTCGACTGCCACTCACGGCTGTTGGACAGACCAGAACCACCCAGAGAGTTTCCACAGCTGAAAACTTGACAGAAGCAGACGGCCTCATCTTTCCTCCATGGAGTGGCGGGTGGGTTTGAACTGCTAACTTTTTAGTTAGCAGCTGAATTCCTTATTATGCCACCAGTGCTCCTTGTTCACTAGGTTTAGCTCATTCATTGCTGTCAAGTCTGCAGCCAGGGACCTCTCAAAAATACTGAAGAGCAATGATGTATATAGTTATCCTATCTATTCATTTCTTGATGGGCACTTGGGTTGCTTCCATCTCTTTGCTATTATAAATAATGCAGCAACAAACAAGGGTGTGCATACATCTGTTTGGATGGTGGTTTTGGTTTCTTTAGGGTATATTCCCAGTGGTGAAATTGCTGGGTCAAATTATATTTCAATTTCTAACTTTCTGAGAAAGCACCAGACCACTTTCCATAGTGGTTGCACCATTTTAAACTCCCACCATAAAAAGGAATACTATGCAGCACTGAAAAACAATGAACCAATAAAACATTATAAAACTTGGTGACTCTGCAGGACATTATGCTGCATTAAATGTCTCAGTCACAAAAGGACAAATTCTGCACAGCACCACTGTTATAAAGCAGGTCTGATGTGAAGGTTTAGGAGGAGAATAGGTTAAGAGTGGATAGATAATGAACATTGCACTGGAATAGATGAAAGAAAGAACTGTTTAAAAGCAATATATGCTTAGGCATTATAATGTATGACAACAGCCCCAAATAAGAGGTACGGGGGGGGGGAGGGAAAGGAGGGAGATTATTGTGCATCAGTGAATGGAAATTGAAAAAAAAAGTGACCTAGAAGAGGGGGAAGGGAGAGAGGGAAAGGGAGCAAAAACGTGCTGCAAAGAAAGAAAACATAACTTTTCTACAAACTTCTGTTAAAATCACAATTAAAATAAAAATATTATTAAAAAACTCCACAGCAATGATGTCAGTTTGAAGACGAACCGACCAAGGTGTGCCTCATTCAGGTCATGGTCTTCTCATTCACTTGCTATGCATCGAGAACTGGACAGTGAGCAAGAGAAGAAGAATTGATGCCTTTGAGGTGTGGTGCTGGAGAAGAGCACTGAATATCCTACGGACTGCCAACCCCCCAAATAGATATGTCCTTCTGGTGCAGTCAGAGTGTTCCATGGAGGCAAGGGTGACCAAGCTTTGCCTTTCATCCCTTGGACCTGTAGCTATGTGAGGTGATTCCTTGGAAAGGGACATCATGCTTGGAAAGATGGAGGGTCAGCAAAGGAGAGGAAGACCCCCAATGTGATGGTTGACACAGTGACGTCAATAATCGACTCTCGTGTCTTGGGAATGATGAGAGCAGCACAGATTAGGGCAGGACTCAGAATGGCAGTTCATAGGGTTGCTATGAGCTGCACTAGATTTGATGGCACCTAACAACAATAAACAACAACAATCTCATTTAAGGGAGCTCTGGTGGCCTGGTGGTAAGAAGCTGTGCTGCAATCCCAAAGGCATGTGGTTTAAATGCATCAGCTGCTCTGTGGGAAAAGGATGGACAATCTCTTCCTATGTAGTGTGTGCTGCCTCTGAAAAGCTGCTGGAGGGTCAGCTATGATTCGGTCCCCACACGATTCCATTCCAGCCCAGTGGTAAACAACAACAACAACAACAACAACAATTTCATTCAGTTCTATGATGTATGTGTGCTTTGAGTTCCATTTTAGAGATGAGCACATTGAGGTCAGCAACTCCAAGCCAGCTTTTTCCGACCGTCGAGCCTCTGATCTTAAAACACTGCTCTTCCCTAAATGAAGAGTCCCTCAATGGTGGAGATAGAAACGTAGTTGGGTGTTAAGCAAAATGTAGCAGGTTCGAGTCTGCCCGGAAGTAGAAAGAAACAGCAGCCATTCCAAACACTGCAGAGTACAAGTGTACCCTGACACGCAGAGCTCGCTCAACTGTAAACTGCTGTCTGTGTGCAGTCTCTGCCATCTTCAGGCTGCTAGCTGGGACTGTTCTTCAATTTCCTCTCAGCTTCTACAGGGTATGAATTGAAATGAATTTTCATAATCCGATCTCAGAGGCCCTGCTAGGCCCCTATGGATCTTCTGAAGCATTTTTGGTGGAAATGATGTTTGGTACTGATTTCATGCTGAGGGGAGAAATGGGGACACAGGCCCCACCTCTGTCTCTGAGCTCAGACCAGGACTCCTATTACAGAACACATGTCTCCTCAGCGAACTGACACCCACATCTGGCTCCTCAGAGGAACTCACCGACGCCTCTCTTTTCTCTATTTCTTGCTCTCCGTTATCACGTAATCTCAGAGCTGCCCGGGTACCAGTCTCACTGGGTCCACAGGCTGCACCTCACTGATCCTGGTCTGAGCTCAGAGGCCCAAGCTGGGCATCTCTGGCCTTGATCTGAGCTGAGAAGCACAGGTTGGTTCTCGCTGGGCTCTGGTCTGGGCTGAGAGGCAGCCCTCACTGGGCCCTGGTCTGGGATTCAGGGTCTCTGGAGCTGATGTGAGCAGAGAAGCTAATGCAAGGAAGAAGGGGGGTCCTGGGGGCAGGGAGGAGGGCCCAGTAGAAGACAGCCTTCTCTTGATTGGCTGACAGCCTATCTTTCTGGAATGGGGTCTTTAGGAGGCAGGGCCCCGCTGACATGTTTAAAGTCGTGTCCCTCTCACGCTGCTAGAGGTCTGGGACCCAGAGTATGTGCTCAGGAGTGATGGGGTGATGTGTGTGTGTGTGCACATGTGTGCTGGAGCTGGGCTCATGTCTGGTGGTTTCCTTGGCAACAGGCAGGGGCTGGAGGACCAGGTGGCCTCTCCCTCTGCAGGTTGGGGACAGGCTCCAGCAGGACACAGCCACAGCACGTGGACAGGTTCAGTCCCTCTGCTCCTGGCCTCTTCTGTCTCCTCTGGCAGCCAATGGGGGAGTTTCAGATTCAGCAGTAACTAGAGGGGAAATGATCCCCGGGCTTGAGGACAGATGAGCAAACATTGATGGTTCTCATTCTAGAGGATCCCCTAGGCCTTTCTGTGGAGTCATGAACCATCATGGACCAAGCCCTTAAAGGGCAGCCACCCTTGGCACAGGTCTGAATGCCCTTCTAGCTCCTGTGTTGGTGGGTTGAGTGCAGCAGGCTGCCCCCCTGGAGTCACCCAGTCCCACCTTGCTGTGGGTCCCCAGGGAGTGAGGCGGTTGAGAGTGATGGGAGGACTGGCTGGTCCGTGTGGTCCATTTGGTACCTGCAGCTTAGGTAAGGGGAAGCCCCACGGCTCTCCCTCACATGTCTGTGTCAACATTGTGTCTCTGTGGTCTCTGTGGTTTGAGGGAAGGCCACCAGAGGAGCTGAAAAGGGCTGGAGGTAGGGGTGTGTGTGTGTGTGTGTGTGTGTGTGTGTGTGTGCGTGTGTGTGTAGTTAGGAAGTCAGGGAGAACCTCAGAGGCCAGAGGGGTAATTTTGGAGAAAAATTTTGGGCGGGTCAAGATGTGTGATGATGGGGTCAGGAAGTGAGGCGAAGAGGGGAGGGGAGTCCTGGAGGAAGGAAGGGGATTGTGGGATGGGGAGAGGCATGGGGTAGAAGTCAGAGGAAGAGGAAGATTTAGGGCAATAGGAGACATGGGGTGTCATGGAGAGAGAAGTACTGAGAAGGAGAAAAGATAGACTGTGAGATCATAAGCAATATTGAAGAGGCTGTGGTGCAGCCCGGGCACTGTGAGATTGGGGGTCCCACACAGGGAGCATTGTGGAGGGGAGAGGAGGACTGTGGGGCTGACAGAGACATGGGCAGAGTCCTGGCAGAGAAAGGGGGCTGTAGGATTCAGACAGGTGGGAATGAGAGAGATAAGGAGTGAGTCTTGGAGAAGAGAGGGGGATTGTGGGATTGGCAAAGGAGGATCGTAGGGCTACAGAGATAGAGGGAAGGACCTAACAGCTGTGGGCCTGAGGGAGGTGTGAGGTGCTGGAGGAGTGTGAGAGAAGCCTCAGGTTTATAAGAGACAGAGACAGAGATAGACACAGAGAGAGGGAGAGAGAGCGAGAGAGCGAGAGAGCACGAGAGTGTGTACGCCTGGCCTCGTGGTTATTCACCTGCACCTTCCCCTGTGTCCCCTCCGACATGACCACACCCCTTTCCTAACCTTCATCACTTTTCTGTTCTCTTTCCCAATCAGTCTTCTTCCCTTCAAGCCTGCAAACTCCATGTCCTTCCCATTGACCACTGTCAGCCCAGAGCCATATGCCATGTCCACAGGAGCCCCTAAATACACAGATTATTAGATGAACAAATGATGGGATTCTCTCGGCGGTGACCAGGAAGTGTGCGCATTTTCTACACTCGGATGTTGAGGCCATTTCAGAGGTTGAGTGGGACACAATCTTGCTGACTGTGGCCTGATGCTCATTTTCAGCCCCTTGGTCACTCTTTGGGGAGGACTGGACAGCCCTCTAGCTTGAGCTCAGGAGGCCCAGTCCAGAGAACCTGGGCAGTGACCGGGTGATGCGGCTGAGGGTGGAGGAAGAGGAAGGCCAGGATGGGGGGGGGCGGGGAGAAGAAAACCTGCTCACTGAGGCTAGTGACATGGTACCCAAGACACAACTGGGCCCTGCTGGAGACCACAGCGTGGGCCCCCTTCTTCCTTCCTTGGGGTTGGGCTGATGGGGGGACCCAGGCTGTACCCCTCACCTCAATGATGTAGTCCCTGCCGTCTTTGCTGTGCACCGCTTTGACAGCACAGATGTCCAGGCCCCCAAACATTTCTGAGCAGCTGTCCACCCACAGCTTGTACCTGCAGGGACAGAGAGGGGACAGTGAGTATGGGGAAGGGGTGGGAACGTGGTCAAAAAAGGAAGAGACTGAGGCAGGGAGAGACACAGAGACTCAGGAGAACAGGCAGCAAGGGGGTCACGCATACAGCCAGAGAGACAGAGACAGTGATACACATACACACAGAGAGAGGAAGAGTATACCCAGAGAGCCAGCGAGAGCCAGAGTTAATGACACACATACCCCTAGAGAAATGCAGAGACAGAGACAGTGACACACAGACATGGAGAGATGCAGAGACACATACACCCAGAGAGAAAGAGTGACATACATGCGCCCAGAGAGACAGACAATGAATGACACACATACCCCTAGAGAAATGCAGAGACAGAGACACACAGACATGGAGAGATGCAGAGACACATACACCCAGAGAGAGACAGTGACATACATGCGCCCAGAGAGACAATGAATGACACACCTACAGCCAGAAAGACACAGAGATAGTGACATCCATACCCCCAGAGAGACAGAGACAGTGGCACACATCTCCCCAGAGAGATGGAGACAGTGACACACTGACCCCCAGAGAGAAAGGGACAGAGAGAGACAGACACACAGAAGAAGGAACAGAGGTGGGTACAGGAGTGGGGAGTGAGAGAGAGTGGGAGATTAAAAGGGAGGTGGAGGGAGGGCAGAGACCAGGATCACCCCATAAACGAGGTAAGCTGGAGCCTGCTGGTGCTTACTTACTAAGCTACAGTGAGTTTCACAAAACCCTGTCAGGTTTTGGAAAAGAGGCTTTGATTCTGTAGGAAGGCAGCTGTGGGCTTGGGAGTGAGACCCATGCCAGCCATTCCTGGAAGCAGAAGCGTTGAAGCTTTGATGTGACGGAAACATGTGAAATTTACAGATTAGTACGTAAATACACACAAGCCCACACTAGCCTTGGTTGTGGGGTAATCTGATAGTGGGAAAGACAGAGGCAGAGAACAGAAACAGGATGTGAGGGAGCCAGAAGGGGCCAGAGTAGGGAAGGATGTGGGAGAGGGGACTGAACTGGAGGAGACAAGAGCCCCTTTCACCCCAGGACCCCACTGGTTCCCCAAGAATGGGGGTTACTGCTCTAGCCTATGCAGATCCCTCACAGCTCCTGCACCCCGTTGGTTCCCTTGGGAATGCTGCTCCAAGGGTTCCAGAAGACCCTCTTGTGCTGCCCTCCCAGCCCTCAGGGTTCAGGCCAGACTGGAGCTGCAGGGGACAAAGGGCACATTCTCCCTGTGGCCTGGAGCCTGGGCTGGGCTGACTCGGGGAGCCTGCCGAATGCCAGGCCCTCCAGAGCCCTGGGGTTTTGTTCCCTCTCCAGCCACTTGGGGGCTGCAGGGCCAGTTTGCTCTGCAGGGGAGAGATCTCAAGGCTAGACTTCAATCTGCAACAAGGGGGTGCTTGTGTTCAGAGGAACCTTCCCAGCTTGCACTTGACATCCCTCCTGGTGCCTGGATTTGAGAGTCACAGGGGACTTTGTGTCAACGTTCTTGCTTCTCTCCCCACTCTCTCGGGTCACAGGGGGCATGCCTGCTCTGAGATCTATTTGTGTCTCTGAGCCTTGAGAGCTGGAATGAGGAGAGGTGAAGGCTTTTCTTTGAGCCATTTTTTCATCGCATCTACCAAAGCTCCCTCTCCAAGGAGAGAAATTGATTCAGTAACTGGGGACATCGGGGTGGGTGTGTCGGAGACAGTGAGATCGGCACAGGACAGAGCAGGGTTTGTACATAGGGTCACTATGAGTTGCAAGCGACTCAACGGCCCATAACATCACCACCACCACCACTAAAGCTCACTGTAGCTCAGAGAGGGTGTGTGGCATGTTCAGGCCACACAGCAAGGCAAGAGGACCCAGATCTTCTGACTGTTAGCCCAGCTCTCACATGCAGCCAAAACCAGAGCTCAGAGTAAGTGAGGTGAGATGGAATGAGATGTGTGATGAGAGATGAGAGAAAGGACGGGAACTGACCAGGAAGGTTTGAACTAATTTTACTGATGAGGAAACTGAGGTTCAGAAAGGTTAAGAAGGGATGGTGCTGGCTTCACACCCAGATTCCGATTCTAGAGTCCAAGCATGCAAACTAAGAGGAAACCTCTTGCCGCTGAGATAACTCTGACTTGTGGTGACCCCATTCATGGCTCAGAGGAGAACTGTCTTCCAGGAGGTTTTCAATGGCTGATTTTTCAGGTGTAGGTTGCCAGTCCTTTTTTCCAAGGAACTTTCGGGTTGACTGAAGCCTTTAACCTTTCAATTAGCAGTGAAGCTTGCTTTGTGGTTGAGATTTTTGATCATTAACCCAAGAAAGCTACCCTTCTTGAATAATGCTGGGTGACCGTCTCCCTTTTGGAGCCTCAGTTTCCTTATCTGTAAAGTGAGAAAGCCTAGATCTTGTTCTGTATGTGAGTTAGGCTCACCAGGAGAATCTCTTTCTCTCACACACACATGCACATTATAACACACACACACACAACACACACAGATTTATGGCTTTGGCCTATGTTAGAATAATCTCTGTAATTTTTTTCCCTTATGGTTGTGGTTTTTATGGTGAAAGAATTCAGGTTAACATTATCAACGGTAAAAGGAGAAAAAGGTAAGTCCATCATGAACCAGGTACAAATTTTAAGATGACTTCTGCCAGCTGAGTCACAGAAGGACATGTTTAACTCTTCTAGCAATGAAGTATGACAATGGATTTGGAGTATTTCCAATCAGGGATGCTCCTTGAGTCTTAAAGCCCAGGGTGTTTAAAGGAAGTAACTCATGTAGGTGTACAGCATACCTATAATTGACTTCAGCTACTCAGATCCCAGAAGGCCTCAAAGCACCACATCTTCTGGCATGGTTCTAATCCCAAATGGTGGGTCCAGGCTTCCTCTAAACTCTGACCAGGCATGCAAACCTTACGTTACCAGATGCAGCTGAAGCCTGTATAGATGTGGCTGGATGTGCCGTTCTGAAGCGCTCTGGCTGAGGCTCGTGGCTGGCAACCACTGTAAGTTTCAAAGGCTTCTCACGTGATTCGGAACTCAGACATACTACCCACTGCCGAAAGCACAAACAACTCTGCCTTGGGCATCCAGAACACCCCTTAGAAGTGTGGGTGTGGGGGGTGGGATTCCGTCTCACATATATCGGACACGGGACTAGGAGCCGACCCCTGGAGAAGGTCATCGTGCTTGGTGAAGTGGAAGGTCAGCAGGAAAGAGGAGGCCCCTCAACAGTGACAAGAGTGGGCTGAGGCACAGTGGAGCTTGGGAGGAGGGGACGAGGGGGCAGGAGGGGGGCAAGAGGGGACAGGAGGTGGCAGGAGGGGACAGGAGGGTCAGGGTTCTGTTGTATTACACACAAGATCACTAGGAGTTGGAACTGAGTAGATGACCCCACTACCAACACCAATAGTCACTCGTATGTGCGGACAGATTTGGGGTATGCTCCCCTTCCTTGAACCTCGAAGGGTCTCTGTACTAAAGGCCAGCTAGTAGAACACACCAGCTTAGGTGAGTTTGTATTCCAAGATACATCAGATTTCTTCTCAAAAGAAGCAGGAAGCCTGGAGCTAGACTAAAAACCAACTGGTTTCCAAGGACTGTTCATAAAGCATCAACTTCCCGGTTAGCTGCCGGCTGCATCCCATAGGGATCCAGGCCCCCAGGGGCAGAGAAGAGTCTTCAAAGATGGAACGGTGTGCAGGAGGCGGCAGAACACTGGGTCTGTGCACCCTCCCGCTCCAATGAAACTCCATGACTTGTCTGTGTACTCTGGAGGCAGGCTTCCGTGTCCACAGGTGAGCCAGGGAGGGTGAGACGTCAGGCTCAGGCTTGTTCGTGGTCCCCAGGCTCTGTACCCTTGTGTGAATGTGGCCATGGAGCTGAGTCCTGGAGCTAAGTTCTGTCTGTGATTTTGTGGAAGGGTAGTGAATCCCAGGCCTGTACAGCCAGCCCCGTTCTACAGCAGAATTCTGCAGAAGTGCTCCATGTGACTGAGATTCAGTAGGCCAGGGGGGCGGTAGGTTGCTGGGGACATTGTGAGCTGGTGGGTACTGGCTAATATTTGATGAGGGCTCGTATTTAGAAAAGGCCTGGGGAAAGAGTCACAGGTGTTCCCTGACTTTCTCCTGGGGGATGAAAGATGTGATCGCACTAGACTGGACGACTCAGGGTGCTAGGTAATGAGCGCAGCCCCTACAAGACCTGCTAATATCAGGGAGTCCCAAGATTGGAACTATATTTGTTACCACAACCCCCAAACCCACGATCGCAGCTGTGAAGACATCCAAAGACGTTTTGTACTGGCGACACCTTGCTACCAAGGAGCTCTTTCTAAAAGTAAGGCTGTCAGCCTCTAGACAAAGAGGTGCCTGATGCAAACTGTGATCTTTTCAACTGCTTCCCATGCATCTGAAAGGTGCACGAGGACAAAGGAAGGCTGACGAAGTGATGCCTTTGAATTGTGGTGTTGGAGAAGAGTATTAGACATCCCATGGACTTCCGAAAGAACAAGCACATCTGTCCTGGAGGAAGTGAAACCAGAGTTGGTCCTTAGAGGCAAAGACGGGGAAACTTGACCTCTCGCACTTTGGGCATGTTGTCGGGAGGGGTCAGTCATTGGAGAAAGCAGTCGTACTGGAAAAGATGGAGGGTCAGCTAAATAGAGGAAGCCCTTCAGGCTGACCAACCGACCGAGTGACTGCAGCAATGCACTGAAGCATGCTGGAGACCGTGATGATGGTGCAGGAGGCGGCGAGGTTCAGACCTGCTGTTCACAGGGCCGCTAGGAGTCAGCGCTGGCTCCAGGCCCCCTAACACCACCACCTGTTACCTGGGGTTGATGGGAAAGAGGAGGCTGTGGTTTCCCCAGCACAGTGACGGCAGGGCCACAGCTGAGATCAGAGTCCAGACAAGGACTGAGCTCCCTCTGCAAACAGAGAATTCTGCCCAGCGCCCCTGGAGGAGATACTGGACGCCCTCTGCAAACACAGATTTCCGCCCAGCCTCCCACCCGAGGGGACGCCCTGTCTGAGCTCTGGTCTTAAAGATTAAAGATTAAAGTTTAAAGATTAAGCTTACCCATGGTTAGGCTGGCAGCATGTTAGTTTTAAGGAAAAATATAGTCTCCGGAGATGGAACCTTTTTGAGGATGATTGGCCTAAACTAAATAAAAACTACTGAGAGACTAAGAAAGGGGCCTTTTTCACAGTGCCATGCTGCGAGAGGACCTCTGCCTTAGCCTTTCCTCTTTTTCTGAACTCATTTCCCCATGTCCCTGTTTTCTTTCTGCGTCCAGTTTGCAAAAGAAGGCCAACCCTTAAGGCACCTGTGCACACCCCTCTCTCATTTTTTTCTCAAATAGCACCCCGACTTGGGTATTATTACCCATCTTTTAGACCTGAAGAGGTACAGGAGGGTTAGTTAACTTAGTCATGGCCACATAGCTGGGCCGTGACAGGGCCACTCACTCGCATTGCTGTTTCTTCAACCAAAGCCCTTGCACTGAAAGTCCACAAGGGCACGGACTATGCCCCTTTTGTTTGCCACGGTGTCTCCTGCTGTTGTCATTGGCTGTCGTTGAGTCAGCTTCAGCTCCTGGTCATCTGATGGACAACCCAACAAAATGCTGCCTGACCCCGTGTCAGCTTCATCCCCATTGTTAGTGCTCAAGTTCATTGTCATGGCCGCCGTGGATTACAAGGGCCTTTGGAGATTCATTTCCCAAGACTATCTGGGATAATTCTCCTCTGAACCGTAAGGTTTTCCACAGCTAATTTTTAGAAGTTGGCTACAGACATTTTCCCTTTTAGTCTCTGTTAGTCTGGAAGCCCTGCCGAGAGCCCCCCACCTAAACGATTCTGTTGTTTGGGACACTGTGTGGCCTAGCTTCCAAAATCACAGCACCACGTACCCCACCATACATTACACACTGACCGAGAGGGACTGAGCAGAGCTTTCTGGTCTCAAAAGCCAGGCTTACAAGCAGAAGTCCTGAGCATACAGCAAAGAATGCGTGTGTGTGTGTGTGTGTGTGTGTGTGTGTGTGTGTGTGTGTGTGTTGGTGATGGACAGTTGAAGGGCAGGTTAATAGATCCTCTTCTCCAGGTGAGAATGACACACAACAGTACATGAAGTGAGAAAGGGGCTCCATCCTGGGACCTCGGGCTACAGGACACCCGAGAGACATTTCTGGAAAATCTCTCTCTCCCTGTTCATACTGGGGTGGAACTCAACTGGGAGAGAAGTGGACGCTCCACTAGCCCGGGGGGCTGGAACATGGAAGTGCCCAGGCATCTGTCAGAGTGTACAAGGCACTGGTGAAGGCCCCCTGCTCTTCCTGGAAGCAGCTGGGCAGGGCTGGGAAGACCGTTGGCCATGGAGACAAGACATCAGAATTACCCGTGGCTCTGCATTGATCCTGGGCAAGTCACCTCCCTTCTCTGAGCTTTCCTCTTCTACATGTAAACTGGAGTAATTTCTAAATAGCCACCTTGCAGGGTTATTGTGGGGAGTACGCCCAGGAGAGGGTCTGTAGACCATGAGGTACTGGACAGAGTGAGGCGGCTCCTTGTTGTGCCCCTCCTCCAGCTCCTACCAAGGACAGTGCCTGTCCCAATGTCACCTTTGTCTCTTACCTTTCTGTCATGGCCACCTGTTCCAACATAGCAGAGCCTGTATTGGCCTTCCAGTTCCCAGAGATCGAGGTTCTCCTGTATCAGAACAGAGAACACAGCCAAGGACATTAGAGATGACTGCTATGGATCTGCTTTTGTGTTTTGCTCTGGCTGCTAGGAGGCTCAATTCAAATGTCTGGCTGACTGTTCTAACATACACTCTTAGGATTGTTCCCGGTCCTCAGCTTTCTTTTTCTGATTTTCTTCTTCTTCTTGACTATCTTGTCAACTCAATTTATCACCTACATATTTTTCTAAGTCACCTTTACATTTTAAAATGAAATTGAAACATGTCTCTACCATCAAAGGAAACTCCCCCAAATTTTACCTCCTGGCCTTAAGAAGGAGAACTAGGGCAGGGTAGGCCAAGGTGATTCTCAACACGGAGGAGAAATGATCCATGAAGAGAAGCAATTATTAGCCCACAGTGAGGAGCTGGGAGGCCTTCTGGCCTCTGCCTGCCTCACTGCCCTTCTTGTTCCCTTGCCCTTTCAGCAACAGCTGACCTCCTTTCTCTCTCCCCAAACCCACAGCTCTTTCCTCTCTCATGGCCTCCACACACTTCCCTCCCTTTGCCTGGTATAGTTTCCATCTTTATCTTTGCTTCTTGTGTCCTGCTCATTGTTGAGCTATTATGTGACACGTGGCCTCCTCGTTGCTTAACTTCCACAACCTCCACTACTCCCTGTGCTAACGCGTAGTAATGCTCATCACACATGTGTATCACACTGTCTTCTCCAGGGGAGTAGAAGACACCAGGACAGAGGACTTGTACCTCCAATGCCTAGGTACTAAGTCCACAGCAAAAATGGTGTGAGGAGCTGTGTATCTGGGGTAAGATCCACACAGGCTGAAGTGGGGTGGTCCAGACCGACAATGGGTGAACCGTGTGATAGTGGATGGAAGTTGGAGCCATCAGTATGAACTTGCATGAAGGTTGGAGCCATCAGTATGAACTTGCATGAAGGTTGGAGACGTCAGTATGAACTTGCATGAAGGTTGGAGA